CTATGATAAAAATTACAGTCATCTACAAGCTTTGCAAGTGGGAAAACCTGAAAAATCAACAGTGGATCAAATACTTGTTCTCCCCACTGAATGTGTATATATATTTTTTTTCTCTTAAGCACCTTTGGCATATTTAAATTCTTCAATTCACCCCCACCAAAAAAATAAATAAAATAAAATAAGGAAAATAAAATAATTGAATGATGGAAAGGAGTTTTAAAGCCAATACTTTTTTTTCTACCCAATTTTAAATTGTTATTGTATATTTGTGTCATCTAAGCTTGTGTCCCCATTTACTATATTTATGTGTGCATAAAACAGATTTTAAACTGCCACAAGTGGTGGATGGTAGGACAACCATCCTAAAACCTGAAGCTTTTATGAAAAACATGAAGATCATCAATGTCCAAAATGTGTCATTTCTCAGCCTCTGGGTATTGTTTCAGATATTTAATTCAGTCCATTTTTGTTTTTTCATTTTCAGGAATACGTGTATCAGATTCTTTAAGGTCACAATATTTCTTATTATTAAAGCTATTGCAAGTCACTGCAGTAATTTAGTTTCTTTGTAAACTGAAACTATGAATGAACCAAGTGAGTCCTTAAATAAAGAAAAKATTTTGTTTTCAGTGGGGTGTTTTTTCAGAACAGCCACATATTATATATCGTACCATCTTTCAAGTGTTAGTTTCATGCATTGGTAATGTGTTAAAATTTGACATAGATGCACTTTTCAAATGTGTTCTCAAATATTTATACATGGTAAGCTTTTTACCCTTTTTTTCTTTTACTGAAAGCAACAATTTTGTGAAGCCACTGTAAAACATGGCAACATTTTCTTGTCAGTATAGCAACATTGTTCTGTAAGTATTGTTGCATTTTGTGTGTTTTTATACATAAAAGAAGTGAATTCTTGTGGCAGCCCTTGATTTTGTGACATGTATTGATGTGAAAAAGCAGGATTTTAAGTACCCTATTTTTGGTAATTCTTGAGGTCATCAGGTATTTAGAAATAAACTGCTTTGTTTCTGTAGATCTGTTCTTTTATTTCTTCCATGTACATATTATTATCAGTTCATTTTGAAGTGAAGAACAAATGAGTCATACAGAATTGTAACAATCAGAAGAAACTTTAATATTACTGTTGATAAAGAGGTCCTGCTGTGGCTTCATAAAGTGGACACTACCCCCTGGTGGCCTACTTATACCACTAAACTGCTGGTTTGGGAACTTCCTTGTCCTGGGGCTCAAACTCTTCCCATGGCTCCAGGCGTGGACCAGGAAAGGCAATCGTCTGTGAGAGTGGAGAAAAAATTTTTTATAAATACATGACAATATGTAAAATGATTTCAGACACCAGGAACGGTAATAAAACCTTAAAAGAGTTTAAGTAAATTAAACTGATACTTTTGCTACATCTGCTGGAGAAACTTTTTTGTTATTTTTTCTTTAAATGCCAAGAACACAAAGACAAGAAGCTCTTACGTAAAACAGCTGATGATGACACAGGAGCTTGAGAAGGAATGTGATAAAACAGAACAATGTAAACCCTGTCCAGGACCATTTTACTGTATGATTTATCAGAGGTGCCCAAAGTTGGACCAGCCATTTCATTTGGCCCACCAGCAATTGTCCTGGTTACTACATTGTAATTATGTTAAGATTAAATATAAAATATATTAAATATAAAAAAGACCACATACAGTATACTCAAATTTTAAAATATGAAAAGTCCCATGAGCCTTTGCTGCCTGAGTATATGTTGAATTTTCTCTATGTCCATGGGCAAAAAAAAAAAAACAAACTTAAAGAATGTGGGCAACCGCACTGGCTGCTAGCTTAATCATAAAAAATAAAACTACTTAAAAAGTATTTGCATTTCTTTTATTAGTGCATTTGGCCCGCGGCCCTCAGATTGATTTTAATTTTGTACCGCTCAGGGAAAATGTTTGGGCACCCCTGATGTTTCTCTTCTCCAACACACCTGATCTGAATGAACGGGGGATTCTGCAGAACTTGAAAAGGTAATTTAGTCACTGAATCTGGCGTGTTGGAGCAGGGAAACAAACCAAACTTGCATGAAGACCAGGGTTGAACGGCTCTGCTGTAAACCTCTGTTAGCCTGAATGTTTGATGTTGGTTAGTGCAAACAGCACTTTTTACAGAGCTATGTTGATGATGAGAGGCTTTCTATAAAAAAAAAACTGTTCCAGCCAATAGAAGGGTTCCACCTGTCAGGAATAAATCTCTATACCACAGCAGGGACTGACTCACTAGCTGCGTTTCCATTGACCATGAAAATGCGCAAATTAGAATTTCGAAAATAAATTTGCTCAATGGAAACACGTCAATTTCGAAAAAAAAAATGTTTTTTGACAAAAAGTTTTTGCGCTAAGATGAGGTGGTTTTTCAGTCGTATCAAAATTGGTGTTTTTCACAAAACTGTAATGGAAACACTTTTTTCGCATCACAGGAGTCACGTGATCAACAACCGTCTGTTTCTACTGGTGAAAAAGACGAAGAAGATAACAAGAAGTAGAAGTAGTAGTAATATCACAGAAGTCGTATAAAATAGTAAACTCACCGACTACAATTTCCCAAAAACACAGCATACGTAGCCGCTCCCAAGTAGGGACTTGTCTCTGGAAAGCCTCGATAAAAGACGCCGACGTCTCCTCTGATGATGAGCGCTAGTGTTGTGGTAGCAACATGCTATGTGTTTACATCCATTGCCGCCATGTTTGTAATGACTTATCATGAGAACAAACGTATTCACGTGACTTTAATAACATTTCTTATTTAATGGAAACACTGCAGTTGCGAAACTGTGTTTTTTCGACATTAACAGAATATCGACAAAGTTTTGCGGACATTTACTATGGAAACACAGCTACTGAGACACATTGGTTGGTTTCTAATGGGAGTGACCTCTGAACAGATAAAACACCAGGTTTAACTAAGCCTGGCTGTTAGCCTGGTCTGGAGCATGCTAGCTGCACAGAATAAATCAACATGGTAACTTATGCACCACTGCTTTTGTGAACCTGAATCCAGGCTTAATTCAGCCAGGATATCTGGAAAATCCCAGCTTAATCTCATTTCCTGGTTTTGTGAAACAGTCCTCCAATCTTAAAGTGGACCTATTATGCAAAATTCACTTTATACAGGTTTTTTTTACTCAACTTTGGATGTGTATTTCTTAAAAAACAGTCCTAGGACCAAAGAAATGCACCCAGGGGCATATTTACTGTAAGTAAATGTATTTTTAATGTATATTAACGACAAGTTTTATACTTACGTCATTTTGTGATGTCACAAGCCATACGACAACCCACCAGAACCTGCGTTCAGCCCCTTACCTAGCAACCCCCGGGTGAGGCTTCACCTCCTCAGTATAAAAAGCCGTCATGGTTGTTGTTGTGTAATGCGCAGCTCATATAACAACACGCCTCTAATAGGGCAATGGGTAGAGTGTTGGACCAGAGAGTGGAAGACCGGCACGGACACTATTTAATTATTTATTTTCATTCGTTATGAACACGTTTTCTCATGTACCTCTATTGTTTAGCTTATTAAAGCCTTGTTAAAGCACTATTTGTTCGAGTTTCTGATGTATTTTAACGGCTGCTGCTCCCTGCTCTGGTAACAGCACGCAGAGTGAGGGCAGAGCAGAGGAG